TCACCTGAAATTCCAAATGAGTTATTGTGTGTCGATTTGATTGGTCCACTTCCTAAATCTAGAGGAGGCTCAACACAATTGTTAGTGACAATCGATGGTTTTAGTAAATTCGTGCAGTTGTTTGCGATAAGGAAAAAGGTACCTCCAAATCTATTCTTCGGTGTTTGGTGTCCAAATATTTTATCGAAGTAGGGAAACCACGAAGAATTCTGAGTGATAATGCAACATACTTTTGTAGTAATGAGTGGAAGAAAGTGATGTGTGAGAATAATGTTGAAGTTGTGCATACGTCTGTATATTTTCCGCAAGGGAATATGACGGAACGAGTGAATAGGGAAATTGGTCGTCTTCTGAGAGTTTATTGTCATACCAAGCATACGAGATGGGCTATTGTGTTAACGGATATACAAAATTTATTGAATCAAACAATTCACGAGAGCACAGGATATTCGCATAATGAGGTACATTTCAATAAATCGCGTGAAAATGAATTCATTCAGACAATCGATTATCCGATATCTCAGGATAAAATAAAAGATTATATTTTTCTTGCTAGGGAAAGATTGAAGAGAAAAGCTGAAAAACGTCAGATGAGACATGATTTGAATAAAAGATCTTTTGTAACTTTCAATGTTGGGGATAAGGTGTTGGTAAAGACACATCCGCTTTCATCCGCAGAAGTCCAAGAAATAAAAAAGTTCTTCCTTCTCTATAAAGGCCCAGGTAGGATTGAACAGGTAGTTAGCCCAAATTCTTATAGAATTGTTGATGATGTTTCTGGTGAGTTTTGGGGTGTTCAGAATATATACAATTTGAAACCATTTAGACCTCCAGTGCTTGCTATTCAGTGAGGTATTATAATCAGTTGAATGTTGAATTTGGTTCATGGAACAAAATTAAACTGGGGGGTGATGTAACGCGCCTGGTATGTCGTGGTTGCAGTTTATTTTATTTTATTAGTGTGTTTAGTCAAACAATCAGATGCTAGGTTTTGTAGGTAGTTCTAGTTGTAAGGGGGAAGTGTGCGAATTGAAATTGACTCTGAAGGGAAGGCATTGGAAAATGGAAGGACGTTGTCAAAATAAGAAAAAAGAAAGAGGGATTTTTTGACAAGTTGTCAAGTAAGAAGAAAGTTGATGATCAAGAAAATAAGCGGACAATTTTTGCATGAAACCAGTATTCTGACGATACTGGATATCACAGAGTGAGGAGCGGAGTGGATGTTTGATTCACGGCCAGTTTACCGGCCTACAGGGTGCACCCAAGGAGCAGCGAAAGCAGTGGCGAGAAAGACGAATCAATATTGTGAGTAGCAATATTGCTTTTCTTGTATAGTAGCAGTTAGAAGGTGAAAGGAGTTTCCAGGCCTACGATTGCATTTCTTTTGGATCTTCGTCATCAATCTACAGAGTGGTTTAAATTATATGAACTTGTTCTTGTGGGGGTTAACCGCAGATAGCGCTATAGACTTGAGATAGGGTTTAGGTTTAGAATCTGAAGGTTTGACCATTGTAGGGAGTAAATCATTGAGTGTCATTTCTATCTATGTCATTGTAATAAACGTTTTGAAATACTTCATTGTTTATTCTGGTGAAAGCAAGAGCAGAACCATAAATATATTCTCATTGAGTTACCTACAACATAGGGCTCTTTTCATTGGCGCCCAACGTGGGGCTGTTCTTGGTAGAAGCTAGTTTAAGCAAGTAGTATAACATTATAAAATATGACCAGTAGGAGAGGAAGAAGGCAAAACATGGCAGAACCCGGCGGAGATGATGATCCCATCGTAATACTGTCCAATTTGATGAAAGATATCAAGTCAAGTTTAGATGAAAATGATCGACTTTTGAAGCCAATCAGGAGCAAGGATAGCTGTTGGCCTTGCTCAAGTTGCGTCAAGGTCTAGGCAGGACATGAATACTCGGTCCATCAGAGCGAGCAGTTAGTTAGCAGTCAGTCCAGAGTGAGTTAGTCCGACAGTCAGTTAGTTCTTTGAGTTCGATTCTCCGGTATTACTTTCCAGTCGGTTTACCAGTGTTCCTGTGCTCGCGCTGTTTTTTCCAGTTCACTATTCCAGATAGTTTTTCAGTTAATTTTTCGAGTTATTTTTCCGGGTAGTTATTCCAGTTTGCTTCACATTCCAGTCCCTTTTCACATTACCAGTCAGTTCAATTCCAGCATATTTTTCAGTTTTCCGGTTCATGCCTTTTGCTACAATTCAAGAAATCATAACCTAACACCTGTCACCTGAATTATTTTCTGAAAAATCCATCGAGTGGCTTCCGAATACTGCTATGAGCCAGTGTTAGAGCTACACCCTGAAGGAGTACTTTTCACCAGTCTATTCCGCGTTAACGATCTAACTAAACTATTTCATCCCTGTATTCCTGTCGATACCAAGCTCACTTTCCTGAATAAACCCTCGCTTGCAACTTTTCCGGTCGTATTCGGTGGTTCATTGTCCCTGCTTTGCTTGCACCTGCATTTGCACCTTTGCTTGCCCCGAACGTACTAGACACGCATAATTTTCAGTGTGAAGGTCAATTTAATAACTGTAATAACATCATAACCTCAACCTGTTTGTATAATAGATTTTGCTTTCTTTGATTAATGCCTGTAACCTGATGAACGAAAGACGTTGAATAAACCTATACTTGACCTGTTCATGTGATTCTGATTTCCCTATCCTGACAACGAACGTATAGAACAAAGTCAAATTCCAGAAAACTACCGGTAATAAGAGTTGTAGTACTCAAGTTACAAGAAGTGACGACTCAAACATCTATTCAGAGCAACCAGTATTCCAGGAATCCCCAAGAGTGTATAATTGAAGCCTATGCTCTCTTGGCCCCCTGCACCCAGGTCAATTCAATAGCTTTGACCCCTGGTTTACTGCAGACATCCAGTGGATGCCTTTCTTCACTGTTGCTACCTTGGGTCTCCTTTCCGACTCAGTTGGGAGGAGCAGGTAAATCACCTTTATCAAAAATCTGGCGCTCGAGAAACCCAGGAGCCTGTTTGACAAGTGTCAAAGTAAGGGCCCCAGAATAAAGACTCTTACAATATGTGAAAATAGAACAGCTCAAATAAGTTTGAAAACATTTACCTGGCTTCAAACTTATACCATTTGGTTCGGTTGCTCACCAATTACCCTCAGTTCATTGCCTCAGCTCAGTCGGTAAACCTATGAACATGATGTACTCTCTTTTTCAAGGAGGATTCCTCGAGGATTTGAACAAATCTAGATGTCAAATTTGTCTTAATTATAAATTCTAGATATCGATTGAAATGGATTTTGAGATATAAATAGAGAAATTATATTGTTCAGAAATCAAAATTATGACAAGAAATGTGAATCATCTAATATTAACTAAAATACCTACTCTGCACCAACTACCTTATACGCTAAGACATCAACAACGATGACAATAAATGATTTCGAATATTCAAGCATAGAAGAAAATGATGATATGAAATTTATTCAAACAATATTTTTCTGGCTGTCGCCTAGTAAAACGATACGTTGAGATCCGCTGCAACTTGTAGGAAATGTAAAAGTTTGTAGATGAATATAGTTTTTCTAAACACTTTCGAAAATCAGTTGTAGCATTTTAAATTTCAGCACCTTACCTTTTTACTTTTTTATAATTAATAATACGGATACACCCTGTATAATATCCAAAGTTCATCTTTACTCCAATATAATGACACAACGAAAATCTTAAAGTATATAAAAGGATGTAGTTACCCATACTATCCTTTATAAATAACACAATCTCAAATATTTTTGTCATTTATTCATTCATATAAGGCCATCAGTCACAAATCTTTGGTACACCTTAGTTTCAGTATTTCAAACAGATATTCGCACCTGAGTTCATCAATAGTTGTCTCTTTCATTTACCTAAAAATAAAAGAATAATTCATTATGATAACTTGAAATCATTTCTAGTTTATACTCACCAAATTATCCACTTTTCTTCCTGGCTAGTTAATTAATAGAGAGGCAGCACATGATGTTCCAATTGGATTTCAATTAGAAATATTCTCTTGTAGAATATCATATCATGAGATTTTGTCTGAAAGAAAATAAACATCTGTTGTTTACCATCTGAATATGGGTTATGCCAAATATATTACCTTATTCATCTTAGTAGTTTCCTGATGTCTTCTTGAGTCTTGAATTAATGTCTGGATAAAATACAGTGATATTTTTTGTAAATAAATAGAAATTATAATCTTATTATTTTTCGATTATGTAATCTGACTTTTGACATAACATGCCAAGTCAGTTCAGTCAATTGTCTTGTTGTAAATAGTAAATTCTCCAATTGTCATGTGTCAAGCGACATCGGACTCAATGGTCACACACACAGAATAAAGAGAGAGCAGCCTCGAGTATACGTCGGACAACATCCACGTTGCCAGATGTATTTAAAAGCCGTGTTTCTCCGAAATGTAATATTTGGTAGGAGATTAGAATAAGGATCCATCCTGATTGGTTGTTTCGAAAATATCAAGGTCAAGGATGTCGACTTCATGTCAAAGCTTGTACTTCCGGATGTCAAAGTTGATGGACATGGTACCCATTTCCTGGACCATCACTTCTTGGTGAGATCTGGTTGAAGTCAGTTGGTGAAGGTGTTCCGCTGGATTTTTATCCAAATTTTGTGCCGGAATCTTCAGAGATTTCCATCTCTCACCGCGAATAATTTACCAAGATCGACGTTGGTGCTCCTGGCAAATTGGGATTTTTATTGTGAGACCCACAATTTTTGAACACGCCGTTGGACACTGCTGGACGCCGTGGACACGCCGTCAGGCACTGCGAGACGCCGTTTGATTTTCGAAACCCTCGTTACACAAGGTGAGTCCTTTTCTTTTGTCCTGCCCGTGAGAAGCTTGAATAGGAATTCAACATAAAAAATTATTATAGGGTTCTCCGAGGGGTTATTCTACCTCCTGGAGTCTGGATCTGATCCAGCCATTTAAAGATCGTCATGTCGTCTACGGTGGGCCTCTTGGTGGCTCCTCTTCGCGTCGATTTTGCTGTGCACCCTGCTATGATCTCCCTGGACTTTGAAGCTGACCGTTTATGCCGACTTATGCCGTTTTCCTCAATGCAGTCCTGTTCGATGCCATCTTGCTCCATGCCGTTTTCCTCCATGTCGTCTTCCTCCATGTCGTTTGCTCTCCAAGTCCAGGACTCCTCAGAGTCTTTCTTCGCTCTCAAGGTTCAAGACTCCGCAGAGTCTTCACTCATCCTACCAGCCCTAGACTCTGGCGAGTCTAAGTTACATCTTGCTTCAGAAGCTCGTCTGTCAGCTTAGACAGAGACCAGCATCAGGATTCTTCCTCATGGTGATGCAGCTAATGGTTGCTGATTGAAGATCTCCAAGTGCAGGCCAGATTATTTAATTTTTTTATTTTTTTCATCATTGATATAATTACCTTCAATACATTTATGAATACTATTTCAAGCGCCCTAAATGAGGTAACATTTAGCTCACAGGTACCCCAACACATAGTACTATGCGGTGGCGGATATTTCAGCAATAACTGAATTAATTACCCCTGATAGGTTCACTGATTTTCTCTCTTATATAAAGATGATATTGAAGTTATGGTATCATGAAAGTAATGATTTATTTATTTTATTTATTATGACTGCATATGGATCTAATATTCTGTGACTTATTTTACTTGCATTACACTGAGTGTATTTTCATCCCCTGCACCACCATGAGTAATAAACCTATTTGTTTTTATGACTGATTTTTATTTATTTATTAAATTTTGGTCAACTACTCTCCTCTTTATAACATCCTACAGTGTATTTATTTTAGCTGGACTAACATCTTTGAGTGTTATTTGGTTGCACAACTATCCATATAATGATTTCATCTCATACTTAAAAGTTGCTGTGGCGCCCTCTCTTTTTTGTTTACTGTACTAATCTAAATGAATATTGTGTAGTATGAATTTTACTTGCTTTTGAATAGAACCCATAGTGCCTACCGGTGAAAAGCTGCCGTTTGCAAGTGCATTTATTTTTCTTATAAAATAAAGGTCACATATTTGGCGCCCGACTGTGGGGCCCCGATTTTTCAGATTTAATATTTTGTCATAATATTCAATTTGGATGAGAGTAGTTTGCCTTTTCAGTAAATAAATGAGATTCTGAATCGTCTGGTTTTCGGAGATTTTGGGAAAATTTCATTTAGGTTCAGGCAAAATTTTTTGTTTATGGTGAGTTATATGAACTTACTTTTGGGGTGCAAATTTGCACATTATTGAGATTTATTTTTGATATAGTAATTTGGGAATTGCTGTGTTTCAGAAAGTATTTCTGGGTCATTTTTTTGCGAATAAAGAAAGTAAAAATACTTTCAGAATTTTGAAAATATTTTGCGGTGTTGTCAGATTGTGACATATTGAAGAATTTTCGAGACTTTGCCTTTTTAGAGAAAGTACTACATATTTCAAATTTATTGTTGAATTTTTAATTTTGAATTGGTTCAAAATGGACATGTCATTTAAGGCTAATCAACTGCTTCATACAGAAACTAATTATGAATTACGAATTAGAGGTGTCATTTCAGAACGCAATCAAGATGACAAAAGGAAAATTCTTAGTAGACTTTTAACTAAAGAACGACAGACAGGAATTGATGTTCGAAATTTACAAGACCCCAATTATGATTTTGCTTTAGAAGAAAATGAAATTCAAGCCACTTTAGATTCAATTAAATTACTTATTGAAGGTTTTGAAGGACCTACTTCTGACTCCGTATATAAAAGAGCAACATCTCGTTTAAATCATGTTAGTTTAAGAATTCAAAGAATTATTCTGAATGCTGAGGAAGAAAATTATGCAACTATCTTGAATTTCAAAAATGAAGCTTATGCTACTGCTTTACAATTGGAAGCAGAACTCAATGAAAATGTCAATGAAGAAGAGCCTGTTCTTGCCAACTCTACCATTTTTACACCAAATTCCAACGTTGCCAATACTTCACATTCGGCCAACATTTCTAGAAATCAGCCAAACACCACTAAAGCTGTTCAGGTGTATAAGTTGAACATCCAATTTGATGGAGAGCCTAAAAATTTATTATCTTTCATTGAACGTATAGAAGAAGTAGCACAAGCTAGGCATATTAGCAAATTTGAACTTTTTGAGTCAGCGAGTGATTTATTTAACAGTAAAGCAACATTTTGGTTTCGACAGATTCGTTCTCAAGTTAGTGATTGGGATAGCCTAGTGGCTAAATTAAAGAAAGACTTTTTGTTATCTGATTATGATGATGAAATTTGGAATCAAATTAAAACAAGAAGACAAGGTAAAAATGAACCAGTTGTCATATTTATTGCTTGTATGGAAACTTTATTTAGTCGACTCAGCCGTGGTGCAGCAGAACCAACAAAAATAAAATATATTAAGCTAGGCCTTCAAACCGAGTATAGAAAGCGACTCGCCCTAAGCGACATTGAAAGTGTCGAAACTCTGAGTACTTTGTGTAAAAAGTTAGAGGAAGCTGATATACTCAGTTTGGCGTCCGGCTCTCAAAATTTTAGAACTGCCCAATGCTTGATAGACCCTGATTTGGCTCATTTTTCAGACACTCAGTCTTCGCGTTCTAATAATTCTAATAGTTATAGAAATAATTTCAGACCTAAACATTTTGGTAAAAATAGGAGAAACTTTAAGGGTACAAATAATCCCAATTCACATGGAAGCAAACAAGCTAATGTTAATGTTACGAATTCTAATTCAACATCCGTTTTGTGTTGGAGGTGCTTACAGCCTAACCACACTTTTAGAAATTGCAGGGCCACTGAAAATATAGTGAAGAAATTTTGTTTTAAATGCGGTTGTCCCGACGTTATTTCAAAGGAGTGTAAAAAATGTCAGGGAAACTAAGACAGGAGGTGATGTCTACAGGCTCAATTATCCCTCCTCAATTTCAGAGAGCCAAAAATAATTTTCATAATATTGCTCATGCAAATTTTTTCAACATCGATGATTGGATTGATTGGAAAAATAAAGTTAGAACTTTTTATAGTAATTCTTCAAATAATAATGTTGCTCCTATTTTTACACAAAAACCTATGGATAACAGCCCTTATATTTCAGTTAAAATTTTTGATCAAACTGTTGTTTGCTTATTGGACAGTGGTGCCAACGTTTCTGTTCGTGGCCAGAAAGCCTTAAATTTTTTAAAGAAACTTAATTTGAAATTGAACACTTCTAGTATGAAACATGTGACGACTGTTGATGGTACTGAACAGTTAGTTCAAGGTATGGTAGATTTACCAGTTTGTGTTGACGATGTTATACAGATTGTCCCTACAGTAGTGGTTCCTTCACTTCCTCACTCCTTTATTTTAGGCAGTGATTTCTGCAACCAATTCAAAATTAAAATAGACTTCAGGAATAAAAGTTGGAACATCCATAGTACAATCACAAATAAGTCTTTATCAGTAGTATCTTGCGAATTAGAGAGCTCTCAAAATCTAGAATCATCGACTTGTCTAGAGTTATTACCTGATGAAAGAGTACAAGCTCATAAAGTTATAGAATCATTTAATGAAATCAGTAGTGACTCACGTCTTGGACTCACAAATAAAATCAAGCTTACCATCGATACTGGTGATGCCAAACCATTTAGGGTTAAACAATATCTAATGTCTCCCTACATGCTTAACATTTTAAATAAAGAATTGGATGAAATGATTCAACTCGGAGTTGTGGAACCTTCACAAAGTCCATACAATAGTCCTGTACTTTTAGTCAAAAAATCATCAGGTGAATACCGTTTTTGCTTCGATGGAAGAAAGTTGAATGAAATAACAAAACATGATAGTTATCCTCTTCCTCGAATTGACAGAATTTTGAATCTACTTAGAGATGCGAAGTATATTTCGAGCATAGATCTTAGAAAAGCTTTTTGGCAAGTGCCGCTTGATGAATCTTCAAAAGAAAAAACTTCTTTTAGTGTTTCTGGGCGAGGCTCATTTCAATTTAAAGTTATGCCGTTTGGGCTATGCAATAGTGCACAAACTCAACAAAGACTTTGTGACACTTCATTTGGTGCCAAGTTTGAGCCCAACATTTTCACATATCTTGATGATATTATTATAACTTCGAAAACTTTTTCTGAACATTTATCTCTCCTAACAGAAGTAAAGAACATTCTTAAAGATGCCAATTTAACTATAAACCCTAAGAAATGTGAATTCTTTAAAACTTCTCTCAAATATTTGGGCTATGTTATAGACAGCCAAGGTCTTCGAACAGACTCTGATAAAGTCGAAGCAATGACAAACTTTCCACGTCCAACCACTACTACTGAGATAAAAAGGTTTATTGGGATGGTTTCTTGGTACCGCAGATTTTTATTTGGCTATTCTAGCTTAGTATCGCCTATATCAGGGCTTTTAAAAGGTAAAAAGAAAGGGCAACCAATCACTTGGTCAGCTGAAGCTGAAGAAGCCTTCATAAAAATCAAAAGTGCTCTAGTCTCCTCCCCCATCCTATGTTCACCTGATTTTGACAAACAGTTTATCATTTCTTGCGATGCTAGTGATTATGGTATTGGTGGAGTATTGACACAAGAAATAGATGGTCACGAAAAAGTTATTGCTTATGCTTCACGCACTTTATCTCGTACTGAACGAAATTATACAGTCTCTGAGAGAGAACTTTTTTTTTAATAGATAAATTTCGTCCTTATATTGAAGGTACCGAATTTGAAGTTTTCACAGATCATAGTAGCCTTTTATGGTTGAATAATTTAAAGGACCCGTGTGGCAGACTTGCTCGGTGGGCTGTCAAATTACGACAACATAATTTTGAATTATTGTATCGAAAAGGTTCAACAAACGTCCTTCCAGATTTTCTCTCACGAATTCCTCCAAAAGATCCTCCTGATGTTCCAGAGATGGAGATAAATTTGATCAATATTTCAGCTGATAATGCTGACAAATGGTATAATTCACTTTGTGAGAAGGTGATCAATGATCCAAATTCATATCCTCAATGGAAAGTCGAGGAAAATCTTTTGTGGAAATATGTTCCATCTAAAATTCCTATTGAAACTAACGAATCTGAATGGAAAATAGTTGTTCCAAAGTCTCAGCGATCTGACGTCATCCGAGACAATCATGATCCACCTACTTGTTCACATTTTGGTGTTTATAAAACCTTTTTACGCGTTCAACAGAACTATTACTGGCCTAAGATGTTAATTGATATTAAAAAGTATGTTCGTTCCTGCAAAATATGTCAGTCACAAAAGATAGCTAATACCTCACGTATGGGCCTGAT